CCCCTAGTCTCAGTGTTACCTCGCATAGCGCGCAGAGGGAGTGGAGGACTCCAGAATATCTGTCATTGATTTCCATTGACTTGCGGACCCCTCGGGGTCATTTTATTTTAGTGTAGTCTACCTTTTTGGGTAAGTTAGCCTGCAACCACGGGAATCGACCGCGTCGAGTGTTGTATCAGTACGGACATACGAAGGTACTGGGTAGAGAGAGATCGGAACGGTTTCTAATGTGAAGACAACAACAACAACTGCTGTGCTTCTGCTGCTAAAGCTCCACGAGCTATCACACCGACTAGTGTTGGTGGGCGTCAGCTTCTGCTGCTACATGCTGGGGTACCCACACAATCCCCATCACTGCTACTGCACACGCCCACACCTCACCCAACACCACCAGTCAGCCGTGTACGCAGGACTGCTGCTACAGTGCCGGCCCGCACTTAAGAACCTCCTATTTTGGGCGAGGCTCAGTTCTCATTGGCTGCCCCAACCCGAGCACCAGTTCTTTTTTGCCAAGTTCTTATTTCGTCGTCCATTCTTCTCCAGAAAGGTGCGTTCTTGTTCTTACAGTATTTTAACATCATTTGCTATATATATTGTCGGCTGTCAACCATGAGCAACACAAGTACTGCTGTCGATACAAGAAAATACCAAGGCATGGAGCAGCAACTGTCAACCTTCTTGGTCCACAAGGGTGACGTTGGTCCTGCGTACCCTTCCTGATCTACTAATGCTCTCAAGCGAAACCGCAAGGGGGAACACTCAAAATGAAACGTGTCCCTTGCAAGTAGAGTGACAAATTTACGTGTCCCATGCATCCAGGTGACAACGGCAAGTACCGGAAATGCCGAAATGCCGCCAAAATTCCACTGAACCAGAATTCTACCCTTCAAAGAGTCAGCCAAGTATGCACATGAAGAAGCGCACACGCAGCCATTCGTCTGAGCTACTCCCCCACCTCTCCTGGTTTTCGGAGCTAGCCGGCAATTCGGATCCAGCCGTTGTGCGATACGTAATCACCTCCGTTAGGATTTGAGGAGGACGGAGT